TGATTGAAAATTTATCTTAATTACTGTATAATAAATCAATAATAAATTACTACAAGGGAATTTATTATAATCCAAATTTGACCTTGAAAAAAGATCACTTATCTTCGTTATATATAATCAGAAATGTAGCAACAACATTAGGTTACATCAGTTAAGGCCCTGTTCTTTTGAGCTGCTTTGCTCTGCTGAGCCCTGCTCTGCTCAAATCTGTTTTGCTCTAGATTAAAAATATAATAATTAATAATAATTAATATTTAATAATCATAATCATAATCATAATAATTTATATTTAATAATAATAATAATAATTAATATTTAATAATCTTAATCATAATAATTTATATTTAATAATAATAATAATAATAATAATTTTATTCGGATGCATACGTTTGGCATACCAATCATTCAACATGATGTGAATCAAGGAGTAGCAAATTCAACTATGTTTGCACAATGGCGCAAAGATTGCATGGACGTAGTGCAATATCGTATAGCATGCCGAATTTGGAGGGCTAATCAATCGGAAAGCGACAATGAAGGTGATGACAATGAAGATCAAAGCGACAATGAAGATGATAACAATGTAGTTCATATGGAAGTAGATGGTTAATTCACCACGATGTTAAAACTCTTATCTAGTTATGTTCCAATTTAGATATGTGCTTGTAACAATTTAAACATGTTAAACTATTGTCTTTTATCTTTCTACTATTAAGATATGTTAAAGATGGTACACATCTATTTATGTTTTCATTCACCTAAACCAATGGTATGCACTTCTTAATAATAATAATAATAATAATAATAATAATAATAATAATAATAATGCTGAAATCTGCTTTGTTCTGATCTGCTCTACTCTGATCTGCCTACAAGCTCAAAAGAAAAGGGCCTAAGTTTAGTTAAAGTTTCTTACTTTCTTAGTAATTAAACTAATTACCTATTGGTTTGTGTTATGACTTATAAGTCATGTCAACATTCTATGAGAGCAATATTCGATCAAATGCATGGAGACGATGAGCTGGGGTAAGGACGTAAGGCCATAACGGTGATATGTACGTGGACGTACATGGTCTATTATGACGCAAATAAACTCATAACTCATTGTATATTTGTATATGTATATATATGTAAGTGACACCGAACAAATTTGATTGTGGTTGAAATTGATGCTACATACATAATCAATATCAAGATATGTGTGATATATTTTTAATTGCTTTTCATTTTTGTGTTTAGAAAGCCACACGGAAATTGATGCTACCTACATAATTTGCTAGATGCTCATTACTCATTACTCATTGTATATGTATATGTACACGAAGATCAATATCAAGATTTGTGTGATATATTTTTAATTACTTTTCATTTTTGTGTTTAAAAAGCCACACGGAAATTGATGCTACATACATAATTTGCTAGATGCTCATCACTCATTGTATATGTATATGTACACGAGGATCAATATCAAGATTTGTGTGATATATTTTTAATTGCTTTTCATTTTTGTGTTTAGAAAGCCACACGGACGGATGATGAGAATCGATCTCTAATTCCCCTGAACTTAGGAAGGAAGCTCTAACCATCTGAACTATCCCTCACTCTTATATATTTTAAATTGTTAAGTATAAGGTAAAATGTAACGAAAACTTATTTTTATATATTTATCAACCAATCAAAATAATTACACAGAATAGTAAACTAGTTATTGAGACAATTCGAAAACTAGAATATTTCCCAACTATAAAGCCCATAATATCATATTACCTTTTTATATTTGTATTTGATCTTAACGTACATTTACTTTGTTTGCAAGAAAATATGGGAGAGCGAGGGCGAGAGCAAGAGAGAGATAAAGAGAGTACTTCTAATGTGGGGAGAGGGTGTGAGACAATAAGGTGGTTATTACTTCATCTGTCCCAAAATAACTGATGTAATTAACTTTGTACACATGATAATGCACTAGTTTGATCTTAATTATTTTTATATAAATATTAATGAAAATTATAGAAAAAACTATAATATAAAACATTATATTAATACCTATCTAACAACATATTTTATGATAAAATATGTTTTTATTATTTCATAAGAAAATATGGTCAAAGAAAATATGTAAATAGTGAAAAAAGTTTAACGTCCCAATTATTTTGGATCGGAGAGAATATAAAAGAAATAGTGACATATTTATTGTATAAAAATGGATGAGTATATATAAGAACAAAAAAAAGTTGAACAATAATAAGAAGTAATGAACAATGGGTGCGAGAAAAGGTGTAATATTGTGGCCAAGATAAAAGTAACAACAATTTTCTGCTTTGTATAAGTGTATAGTTTGTTTCAAGTCAAATGAGTTTTTTTACCCAAATAATTGGCCTTATTTTCTTAGTCACTTGATTTTTGCTATGTTATATTCGGCTCTAGGTCGCATTCGCAACTAAGAGAGAGAATCTACTTCATAAGTTCAAGAATGTTCCATCCCCAAAACCATATATCTGATAATAAGAGGAGTAACTCATTAGCTTTATAAAGTGTTTAACTTTCCCAATTTAGTTTTATCAATGTGACGAGACACTTATTACATGTGTAATGTGTGGTATGGGAAAAATATGCCTCAACACTCTCTCTCACATGTAAGATCTCTCTTCAATCTGGTCACATGTGATGTTTCATGAGGCTAAATTGTATTTTTGCACTTTCCCTCATATGGACCCATTCAATTTGGGCCAGAGTACATTACAACCATTAAAGATCTCAAACTATAAGCCTAGCTCTGATACTATATTTAATATGGGTTTGGGTCGAACCTATCACCAAGAGATAGAGAGTCCACTTTACAAGACCAAATTATTAAATTATTTTTACTGAATTAAATCTTTAAAATTATATTTATTTAATATGAAATCTTAACAAAATAGGAGTGATGATGTTAAATGGGCCTAGGCCTACCCATCACAAAGTAGTGGATGCAACTTTTTGTTTTATTCAACGTGGGATATACATTTCCATTCTCCCTTTCACTTTTACATTCGTTTAACGTGGGACGACACTTCCACTCACGTGTGGGTTTGTTCATGGCTTGGGTATAACAGATCATGGTGATATGGAAAGGAGGTATTATCAAATCATACTACATTTAAAGAACTTCGTGGGTTTTTTTTCCACAATAAAAAAAGAACATTAGACAAATTGAATTGTGAGGCATATTTAAAAGCTAAGAGTAAATTGAATTGTGAAATAGATCAATAATAATGTTGAATTTATAGTATCAAAAACATATACCCAGAAAAAAAGTGTTGGGGAGGGAGTAAAGGACAATATCAATGGAATTTGTGCAACAAAAATTGGTTTTATGCACAAGACAGTTGTGTTTTCTTAGCATCCCCGAATTTATGCACTAATTTGGGTTGGACTATAAATGCAAGAAGTGCATGTGCATAATGTGACCATTGGATAGAAAAAACTACTTACACTTGGACTGGATTTTACTTGGATAGGATTGCCAACTAGTATCATATGGTCGTTGATGAGTCATACATATGGATTTCGGCATTTGAGTTTGTCATGCTCTAATTACTACCTTGTTTTCTTATAAGGGATAAAAAAAAGGATAGAAAAAAGGAAGGAAAATCTATTTTAAAAAGGAAATAATCTATAACATATATAGAAGTTTAAGATTTCTTTTTTAATGAGTTCCCACTAGTCTGAATGTTGACTCTCTATTGATCGCTTTTATAGGTCATAATAGCTAGGTTGTTAATATATGAAGTCAAAGAGCGAGTGAGGGAAGTTGATGGCAAATATGGGCGCGACAATATTTGTGGCAATGGATAATATAGAGTGCTTTATTTGTTGGTGCTTTTATGCATGGTATGAATTATAAGTTTATGGAAAATTTTGATTTATCAGATAGAAGTTTAAAGTAAAGCTAACGTAATGGAAAAAAAATAAAATACTTCCGTAATAGAGAAATCTAAAGTAAAGCTAGAAACCCTAATATGTATATTGAAACAATTAAAAAAATGATAAAAACCCATTTAACATTGTACATGAATTACCATTTAACACAAGCTTGACCATATTTGTCGCTTGCCTTTTCGAAGCATAATATGCGGGATAGATTTGATGGAAACTGAAAGGAGCTAGAATATTAAATTTTATTATACATCTAAAAAGCTCTTGTTTGTCGGACTTGATCGAATATTTATGATAAGCGGTTGTGCTCTGTATGTGGTGTTAATAACCATATTAACGATTATTAACGGAAAAAACTGAAGGACCAAGTAACAATTATAACTTCATCATTTTCCTTCTTTAATACGAAGCATATTAAGTTGATGCAAAACTAGTTTAAAATTATGTACTATTTTTTTTTTGCCGAATCTGTATAAGCATGATAAGTGGTAGTCGTTATATTTAGATTGTGTAAAAGGATTACCATCCTCAATTAATTATTACATTTCGTCCCCGATTACTTGATACCATAAGTTGGTACTACGTATAAGGAAAGAAATTCTTGTTACCTTTTACTTTTCTCTCTATATTCCCAACTCGTCACCACCACCATTCCCAAACTAGCCACCATCACCAACAACATTCTCCAACTAGCCACCGCCACCAGGCCCACCACCACTTATTGATCCTGAACCACAGCCCGCTCATCAATCACCATTGCCACTATTCATCATTCATCATCCTCTTTTGCGAACAACCATTACTACAACCTTTTTATTATAAAACTATTTGGTTGTGACTTGTGAGATAATTGAGGGAACGTTTGCGTCCAAACATTAACTTATACAATCACTTAGTCAAACCAGTTTATACAACCTATACACCATAACAACTAAAAGCAATCACTATTTGGTTGTGACTTGTGAGATAATTGAGGGAACGTTTGCGTCCAAACATTAACTTATACAATCACTTAGTCAAATCAGTTTATACAACCTATACACCATAACAACTAAAAGCTAATCGTCAAACAGGACCGATAATCATCTCTTCAAGTCTTCAAGCCCATGGTTACATAAGAAATTCATCAAGTGAATGGGCTCTTCTTCTAAACTAAGCCCACATAACAAAATTCCCAAAATCAACAACCACTAAACCCTAAACCCCTTTTTCCTCTATCATCTTCTAAAATCAATTTAATCTCCATTATCAAATCCTTCAATTCTCCCCTCAAACTCAATCAAAAATTCATCAATGGCGTTGAAATGCGGTAGATTCATGAACAGAGCATCACTATCTTCTCTCAAATCCTCCATTAATTCTGCTACTAAATCTGCTCCAAGGTCTGCTGCATCTGCTCTTCCCAGATCCACTTCCTCAAATCTTCCTCGAATCAATTTCTCAAGGTCAATTTCTCTCTCTTAATTTCAAATCAATTATGAGTTTCTCTCATTATTTTGAATTAATTTCCGATTTATATTTTTCCGATCGATAGATTGCCGAAGGAATTGGGAGGAGCGCAATCGCTGTTGCCGCTGCACAGCGCCGTAGCGGTGGCGAGGCTGACGTCATGCTTAAGCACAACTTCGAGGAGTTCCAGAGCTCTCTCTCAGGGTACACTCTGCCGTACCTCTCCCGACCTCTAATATTCTTATTTTTAGGTTTGTGCATTTTGCATTTGATTGATTATATGGTAAATTCATATAATTAAATTCAATATTGGTTAGGTTTTCGTTGCTTCCATAATAAAAATTATCATATAATTGCTAATTTTAGTTAAGAATGAACTAGATCAACATTGAGATTGTTTTGGTGACTTTAGCTTAGTTTAGGCTTATTATTAGATGGTTGATGTTTGAGATAAGATAGTAATGTGTACCGGGACATTGGTCGTTAATCAGCCGGATCACATTAGCATTGCAGTTGTCTTACAACCCTCGATTCATTGAAAGAAACCACCTTTTGATAATTTTTTCAGCTGGTCTTAGCTTAGTTGATTGCATCATGTGAATTTGTGAACTGTGCTACCGTTGCATTATTGGGAGTATGCACTATGAAGTGTAATATCTGTTAGGTTATCCAATGAATGAGTGTATTTGATGTGTGCAATTGTTTCATGTGGTTTTGTTCATTGATGGTACTTTAGCCAATATGGAGTATAATCTAAGTGCAAAGTTTGCATAGCATTTTATTTTCGGATTTGTGAAGTTTATTGGGGAGAGGAAATGGCAACTTGAGAGCAAAATGTGCAGGCAACTTATCATTTCTGACTAAAGCAATGCCGTACCTTGTGATTTTTGGTGAAGATTGACATTCCATAATGAGATTGTTTTGGGTTTAGCGTTAGCTTTAGGCTGCAAGCCTGTGATTGTTTACTTTTGTGTGAAGAGGGAGTAACTTTTGATTGTGATGGGAGGAAAAAAATTCATATGTCAAGTGTCAAATGTCGAGCTGACTAGAGTATTTGGTTCCTGCAGGCACATAATGTCAATATGCTTGAAAGAAATAGTGTGGGTCCTGGGGCTTGCCAATCATGAATCCCTGCATCGTTCTCAAGTATGAAACTATAAATGCTTTTTTATAGAGACAAAATATGTCATACAAGAATACACCCTTTCTATTTTGTAATCGAATGGCTCATTTTTAGAGCAGTTGAAAGTATTGGTAGTATAGTCTTTTTGCTGGTTAGTGAACTTTAATCATTTTTTATTCTATACTTGTCTCCTTGATTGATGATTTAATCATTTTGCTCCAAATGTAATAAATGGCTGAGAACTAAATGAATTTTACATGTGTTAAAGGTATGAACAATTTAAAAGGTTGTTGCCACACTGGCTTGTTACTATGGTGACAGATATGCTTTGGGTTCTTTACCAATCTAGGGCAGATCATTTAAATGATAAGGCATTTAGGTAGATATGTTGATGATTTATCATTATCTTTAAAAGGAGCAGAGGATGATTCCCAGTAAAAATATTGATGCAATGGTTGACAATTTCTTTCAACTTTACATACCTTTGCAAGTTTGCATCCTATTTGCAGACAATCCATTCTTCAATCCTCTAGTACTATTGCACTTCTTACCTTGATTCAAAATGAAACCTCTTATAGTCTTATGTGTATTCTATGTATCAACTTTAAGAGAGAATAATTGTAGTTGAAATATTGTTTCACTGTAAAATAACTGATCTTAGGTCCATGAGGATGTTGTAGTGACATACCTGCTTATTTTCCCCAGATGAAACTGATGGTACGTGAGAGGTTTGAAGGTTGCTCAATTCACCAGTGCTTCCATGTCCCTTAGCTATAATGATTTTACAACACGGATATAGTATGTCTGATGCGAAGTCATATCTGTACATTTTTTTGGAGCAAATCTGTATCAATGCAGATGAAACCCTTTTTGTGTTCTTTGTGACTACGGCTTACTGGATCTAAGTCGAACATTATATTCAAGCATAATTAGCATATTGAAGTGCTACTTCTCATAACAGTTTCTGATCAAAATTTATTTTCTGTTTGCTCTAGAGCTTGGTCTGTCCGTACCCAGGTGACTTAGCAGTTCATCGCTAATTCAAGAAGCCATCTTCGTGTGATTGGAAACACAACTTTTTGCCGCCAGAATTTTTATTGTAAACTGTACAAATCCTCTTATCAGCTATTGAATTTCTTTGCTGGTCAAATATTGGATGTGAAGGTATTTTTTTTTTTGAAAGTTTAACTGATGGAATAATGTGGTTTTTGTATTGTTACCCTGAGCTTAACTGTAGTAACACCATCTTACACTCACTATTTCAGCAAATGCTGTACTAATAATCTCAATTACATGCTTTGTTTGTTTTGACTTTCCAGTCCTACGAAAGCTTTTATTTGTCGAACATGGTAGGCAAACATCAACACAAAAATTTATCAGTTCACCCTCTTTATACCAAGCTAGTGTTAGCTTTTGAGAGAGTAAAAAATGTAAGAACATCGACACCCTGCGTTCGGGAATTTTCCCGACTACTCATTTATCGGAGAATGATGCAATCTCTTTCGTTGTTACTTCCATTGCAATTTCTTGTATTTTCAAAAGTAACTCTAGTTATTTATCTTTCAAATAGCAAACTTCGACTCATTCTCCTCTGACCGAATTTGGTTGGTACTTTAAACCCAGGATTCACTTAATCCCTATTAGTGTTTGACTATATGCGTATCAAACTCTAGATTCTTACTTAATAGTCTCTTTGCTTGACCTATAACAACATTGTGGCCTTCACGGCTTCACCATTGTATCTAGGATTCACCTCTGTAGAATACTAGAATATGGTCACAGCAAAACATGCTCCGAAAGTATTTAAGATTAGTACTCAATCAGATGAATCCCACCTTTCTCAGCCTTCATCTGTTAAAGTCCAAATGACAATCGTTCCAGTTCTCATAACATTGTGCGTCATGTGAATCTTTTCTCCTCAACCCAACTAAACCCAGCTTCTTTCATCACCCCTTGACCTCTCATCTGATCCCAAACTGCAGTTGCATCCACCCAATTGCCTCGGTCTTTGTGTATGTTAGATAGAATTACATAGCCTACCTCTTTGCCCTCTAATCTCTTCAACTTTGCAGCTGCAACCTTGGCAACATCCAATTTCCCGTTAGCTCCACAGACACCAAGCAAAGCCCTCCAAACGGATGGGCATGACCAAACCCTAGCTCATAAATCAACTTCTCAGCTTTGCATAGCTGCCCATGATATCCCAAAAGTCTAATAATAGAAGCTAAATGCTCAGGATTTGGTTTGATTCCATAATCATAGTACATAGATGTCAAATACTCATAAGCTTTCTCCAATGGCATTTGGCTATGTGAACATGCTGCCAAAACATTCACAAAGGTGATATCATCGGGTTTCAATCCCTTCGCATCCTTCAACTCCTCGAAGTATTGGACCACCCTGTGTGATTCCCCATTATGTGTAAGACCAGCTATTAATGCATTCCAAGTAACAATGTTTTTCCTTGGCATGAACTGAAATAACATCTCTGCATCTTTTACCTGTCCACATTTTGAGTACATGTCCACCAGTGCACTCCCGATGATCATTGAAGTAACCAAACCATGTTTGATAGCACAACAATGGATTATGGTAACCCATCTTAGAGCTGAAATACACGCAATCCCACTCAAAATGCTCGAATATGTGAATTCATCTGTAACGACTGCTTCTGCATGCATTTGAGCAAAGAAATCAAGAGCTTCCCCTACTCTACTCCTAACCACATACCCTGATATAATCGCGTTCCATGATGATGAATTTGGTTTAGGCATGCTCCTCAATATCTTTATAGCCTCATCTATGTCACCAAACTGCGAAATTCCATTAATCATTTCATTATAGGTGACAGTATTAGGGCAAGGCATCTGATAAAAGTAGTCAGATGCTAGTCCAAGCCTTCGATTTCTGACACACGCTGCAATAACTGAATTCCATGAAATCACATCCTTATCTTTCAACTCGTCGAACACACTGATAGCGCCGTCTTCAGAACTGCACTTCCCATACATATCAATCAAACAGTTTGCAACAACAACACTTGATTCCAGTCCATCCACGACAATCCTCGAGTGTATGGACATGCCTAACCGCGGCAATGCCAACTGACCACAGGCAGCCAATGCAGAAGTAAAAGAGTATGCATTAGCTCGAATGTCAGACTGACTGAGCTGAACAAACAGTGTCAGAGCTTTCCACAACTTTCCAGAATGTACATACCCAGAAATCATAGCATTCCAAGAAACAACATTTTGCTCAGGCATTTCATCAAACAGTTTGTGGGCATCTTCTAAAGACACAACTTTGGCATAGAAACTTACCAAAGCAGTATTTACATAAACATTTGAAGTGAACCCAGATTGTAAAGAGTAGCAATGAAGTTGTCTACCATAAGAAACACAGCCATGATTAATACAACCTCGAATCATCTGAACCAATGTAAGACCATCTGGTTTGGTATCCCATCTGATTGTTGCAGTTTCCCCAGAAAATGAAATTCTAGTATCATGAGAATGATTTCTACGGATGAAATTGAGAGGAATTTTAGAAATTGAGGAGAGAGAAAGAAGAAAGAGGTTGTGATTTTGGAGGTGATTATTGTCAAGTGTCCTGACTCCTCTGAGCAGTGTTTTTTGCATTACTTGCCTCAGAAAAGAAAATAAAGGTTAGGCTAGTAGGCTTTGTTCTTTTTATTAAAATTTAGTTTGTGAAATGGATTTGATGGACTTGGCATCGTGGCGATTGTCACGTGGTGAAAAAAATAAAATTATGACGCTTAGACTTGTTTATAGATGGTGTGATATATAGAGAACTAGTCGAAAACTGATACACTTATCTTTATTCGCTAGGGATACTTTTAGTTTTAGGTAATTTAATTGTTTATGTTGGGGCAATTTGCATATCCCGAAGAAATAAGGATTAAGGGGTGCACAATTCTATAGGAAGTGGGTTGATCTAAAAAAACTCTTTACTTGACATTGCGAATGTTACAAATAATGGAGCAAACAAAGATTGTGTAACAAAAAAGCATCAATTCCTAATAGCATTTACTTCCACTCGAATCTGTTATCTCTGATGTAAAAATCATCTAACAAGAATGATTTTCCATTAGGAGATACGAAAGAATCTGATAATATCAATTTAGCTATTGAAAAATCAATAGCAACAGCATAAAGAGTTTGTTTAAGAACAAATCTTTAGCTGCTTTGCTGCGCACCGCCTGTCCAGTATGTTTTAACAGCAACAAGAATTTTCTCTGGGTTGAATGGACCACTTTCATGATCTGCAATATGGCTTTTCCACTTCATTCTCTTTGTGATTGCTTGAATCTTCACTAGAACTTCTACTGTGTCTCGGAATATCACTGTCCCTTCCGGTCTCAGTAATCTGTCCATCTCGAGCAAAATGTAGGTAATGTCGCACCTACAAAAAAATTTTGCTTAGCCAACTTAGTGCTACATGCCTACATAGTCGTGTAACAAATTAGTACGTAATACAATCAACTAATGAATTTACCTGTCCTGGTAGATGCTGAAAACTCCAGCAGCATGAATAAGGTCATAAGTTCTTGGATATGAAGAGAATGCTTCACACCAGTCATGGTATACACCAATGAAACCGCGCTCATAAACTACACCTAGAGTGTCTGGATTTGAATTGGCAGGAACCACATTCATAACCCAAACAGGATACTTAACCATAGCTGCTGCAAAACCACCCAAGTACGCATTCATATCCATCAAATTTCGATACCTTCCTTGCGGTAGAGGAGGGACAATCTTCTTATAATATGCCACTCTGTCCTTCCACAAATCATTGTCTTCTCTGTATTTCTCAGCAGAAATCCCTGGAACAGTATTGCTGCTTATTCTAGGAGGAACAGCGTGTGCACGTTCAGGCCATTTTTCGAGAGCTCCACCTGCTACTTCGTCTGAGCTACTTACTTCAGGTAATGGGGCTATACAAGACTCCATGTCTTTGTACCTATTTCATAAACAAGGAAAAAAAAAAAGATTAAAATTACTTAGGAGGTAAACTTGGAAAAGATAGCGAAATTCATGTTTATGTTTATACCAAGCAGCATCTGTATTGTCTGATTTGCAAATATGTGGGGTGGGATAAGTTTTCTTGCTCTTAATACATTCAATATGATTCATGGGCTTTTGCCAAATGGAGAGATCACCCTGTTCAATGACCTTGTTCCAGCACAACTTCTTTGCTACATTCTCGATTGAATTTTGTTCTTGTTTTAGATCTTCCTGAGTCCTTTCCCAGCCTCTCCAGTACTTTTTCCAACGGATCGGAGGTCCAGAAAGAATCCAGTAGCCTCCTGGCCTTAATACTCTATCCACTTCCATCAAATACAGTCCATCTGCATGGGTTCATTTACACAGATCAAATATATAACCCATCCGATTTAGTGGTTGTTTTCGAGTTTTTACATTGTTACTAATAGCCTGAATTACAGTATTTTGATGTTTTATTACAAATGTTGATGTGCTTAGCAGAAAACTTACCATACTTGTTCCAGGGTATTAAGCAACGGGAACAGTGAGCCATGTCGAAAGCCCTTGCAGGGTAAGGAAGCCTTTGGGAAGCCATGATGCCAATCATAGCAGGAACTCCTCGCTCTAAGGCAAACTGCACCTGGGCTTCATGTGTATCTCGCGGTGCAAAAGACATTGAAATGATGTCTCTCTTTAATAAGTAAGCCCCCCAACTAGCAACCTTCATCATCCAACAAATAAATGATTCAGGCTGTTCTTCTGTAGCATATATAAAATTGTTTAATGAAGTAGAAATGAACTAAACACTATCACAGAATATGATCTACTTATTGTTAATGGCACTAATTGATGTATGTAAACTGATTTTAATTTTCAGATTTCTGACAATAGAAACAGAAGAATCAATCACTAACAGAAGCTCATAAACTACACAGTTTTCAATTATTAGTTGTTTAGTGGTCCAAGCATTTCTAAGTTCTTGCTGAATTATTAGGATTAAGCTCGGTCTCACTAATTGTATAAAAGGCGGTGTGATACTTAAACCTTGCATATACAACAGAGAATTTCTAAAACACAGGTGCATCATAAGAAAAGACAAGTTATACTATATACTTAACAAATAACAAAAGAAGGTTTGTGTATCTGAAGGAGATAGCATACCCCACAGCCAGTGTCAATGGCAGTTCGAATCTTGCCGTTAGTAAGGGGAATGAGATTATTAATATCATCAATGTATGCGTCAGCACCACGAGGGAACATGGTGCCTCCTCCAGGAAACCGAAAACGGTCACCTTCAACTTGGATCCAATTTTGGATAGCCTTCTCAATACTAAGCTCTTTGTGTGGAATGTTATCATACCAAGCATAATCTCTGCTTTGAGGCCACTTAAAAGGAGTCTTATACTTTGGAGGAGGCGGTATTAGACATTGCATCAACTCGTCTTTACTAGGACAATGTCGCTCTCTATACTTCAACATGTAACGGTCAAATTTCCTGCCCCTCCTAGGATCTTGGCAAGGTGTATACTCACTTAAAGACATGTCACACGGCGGAAACTCTTTCACTGCTGCATCATCAGTATCATTCATTTCTAATTGATGATGGCTTTCAAAGTCTAGATTTGCTACTCCTGTTGAAGGAGAACTGGTTCCTAGTTTTGAAACTTCAGGGGACGCGTTGTATGTGCACTCAATCTTTCCATTGTTGTTGTTGTTATTGTTGTCGTTGTTGTTGTTTAACCGTTGAAACTTGTTAGCAACAGCCGGTGTTTTGCCTTGCCAAACGCCGAGGATGTAGAACAGGACACAGAGGCTACTGACCATAAAAATGTAGGTAAGGCGTTTTCTCTTAGCCTCTATGTAATGGTGGGGTTTCGGAGATCCTCCTCCATGCTCCCTAGCCATTTTCTATACAAGTATAACAAATTATGATTTCCTTGAACAGATATTATGACTTTGGTTTGTTTACAAGGAGTGATCAAAACATTATTCAAAATAATCTTCAATTCTTGTGCATTGATCCTGAAACAATGTTAATGAACAAAAGTTGTTATTATATAGGCCAGGATTCAAACGAATGACTAGGAATTAAATCAGTAAATCTCTGTTACTCACTATGAGAAACGTTTTTGTTTCTCACAGTGGCAGTTTCGTAAATAAAATGTACCACCGTGATTAAAGTGGTACAATTTTATCATCCATTTCGTATATAAAATGTACCACCGTGACTAAAGTGGTACATTTTATTTACAAAACTGCCACTGTGTTCTCACTGTGAGTAATGGGGGCGCCCTCGAATTAAATCACATGAAAAATTTGTCGAAATTATGAAGAAGAGATGATTATGAACTAGCTTAGGTCTCAATTATTATGTTGCCAAATGATGTAATTGGTTCTTCATTTGTATCTAGAAAAGTATAATGAAAACCATTTGGTACATGACTACATGGTGATAGTATAGTGGATAGTATCAAGTTAATGTCTAATTTTATTTATTTTTTTTATATTTTTTTTATTTATATTTAGGAAATTGGGAGGATCTTGCTCCAAAAAAGATTGATTGCAATGTAGCTCATATTATTGTGAGCCAAAACTAACAGAATTTTTTCCCCCTTACAATATAGCCTTTAATGATAATGGATTGTTAGTTTTATTAGGCAATGATGGAAGGTATGATTCTAGCTTCATAAAAAGAAAAATGAAAAGATATAAAAACAAATGAATTAAAACACAAGCATCCTGAAACAAAGATAGCTAGCTAAATTATTCAAAACAAAACTTATAACACAATTTTCATGATTTTTTTGCTGAAGTTTATACAAAACTTTATTAATTAATTATTCAACAACATATGAATAAATGGATTATTGAAACACCAATATATTTACATACCTTAAAAAACTCCGAAGGAATCACTTCTTTTCTCTATAACATATACGAGTACTTCGTTTCAATTCATTACGTTAGAATTGATATTAGTACAAGGAGCGATCATGCTAGAACTCAAAATGAAATTGATGATTTAATACCCAATATATATATTTTCCATATAAAATTTATATATTTTTCTTGAAATTTAAGAATAAAAAAAATTAAAAAAAAAAAAGTATATAAAGGATATTAATTAGCAGAGAAAAAAAATAAAATTGAGATGATTAATGTGGCAAAAATAATAATGAGAAAATAGAAAGGAGGAAGAATAAGAGGGCAGTATTATAATCAAGTTACAAGTACGCAACAAAAAACGCTCCTTCTCTAGTTTTTTTTCCCTTCCTTTTTATCCAATTTTCCATTTTTAGGAAGGAAAAATTAATGTAAATAGCATTACAAGCTTATAATTTTTGTCAAAAATAATAAATAAAAAATAAAAAATGGTAATCCTATATTTCTGACAACTATGATGACTAGTTCAATACTATAATTACGCGCCTAAAAATTCTCAATAGCCCATATTGTTGCACCAAACCTAGCTTTTTCTATACTTGAATTGCATAGTTGCATTGTAAAAATTTAAGTGTTTCTTTTCGAGTTTTTTTCCCTCTATATAAGCTTCTCAGCTCAAATTATTGTACTTGCACCCTATATATCGTAATATGTACAAAGGAGTACTATGTTCCTTACAAGTGACTATGTAACATACATAAATTTGATTTGCGTGGGACATTATAGACATTTATAGCGATGGTTATTATCACCCATCGGTCATTGCTATAGAAAAACAACACCGCCTCAAATTTTTCATATGATTTTTTGTGGTCGATGATGATGATGAAATATACTCGACATGACCAAGCGAAATAAAAAAAAATTAAAATTAAAAATACAAAAGTTTTTATTTATTCAAATGTTAAAAATAAATGAAAAAGATTTTAAATTACCACTTACGTTACTTTTTAGTTGCAATAAAGGATTTTTTTTTTCTCATAAATAATACCCCTTTGTTGCAACTAAAAACAAACGTAAGTATGTAGTATTTAATTGTTACTTAGTTTACACCCTTGTGCGGTAGTTGTGCCATGCATGCGTCCACCACTACGACCCAGCTCACGATTCACGATTCACGATTTGCTAATTATCGGTGAGGTAAGGTTTAGCTAGACTTTTTTTAACACATAAAAGATGATATATTAATTACTTTAAAAGTTTTACATACATCAAACCTCAACCTCATTCCGTAAGCAAAATTAGAGGTTGGTAAATAGCTTAAAACATAGGATCTCAAGCTAAACTGAAAATTAGGGATGATTCTACTGTGTCATTTTTTAAAAATGGACACCATAACATACCGACGTGGCATGTTATGATCGATCAATTATTCATTTATTTTTAAAAATCAAATTATACAATACATGTATGTATTATTGTAAATACATGTATTTTTTTAAAGAATACAAAATTATTGTATTTAAATTTTTTTATTTTTTTTATTTTATTATATTCGAATCTCCATGAACGCACCTTCATGGTCTTCAATTGGAGCACAATTCAAAGTTGTTGAAGCGATTGGAGGTCGGAATTGTTGTAATTGGGTAGCGAATTGCAGTAATTGATGGAGGATTGGAGGTTCTAATTGTCGCAATTATTGCTGCGTTTTGGTGTTGTTGATGAAACTTGGATGGAAGGTGGTGGTTATTGCTGCGATTGGAGGCCGGGATTGTTGTCATTGGGTAGCCAATTGCTGTAATTGATGGTGGAATGGAGGTTATAATTGTCGCAATTGCTGTTGCGTTTTGGTGTTGTTGGTGAAGCGTGGAGTGAAGGTGGCGGTGGTTGCGGGCTGGTGACGGAAAATGGTGCTGATGTGCTGTCCGACGGTTGGAGGTGGTTGTTCTGTTGCTAGGTGGTGCGGCGGTGAGTTGCTAGCTGGGTTGCGCCGTTGCGGGCGGCTGGTAGTCTGTGGTTTGGGAGTTGATGTTGGTGGCTTGGTGCAGTGAAAAGGCAGGGCATAAAGGGATTTTCATAATTTATGATTATGTATTGTATTAAAAAGAATAAGTAATATAAATACAATTTTAATACATTATGGATATTAAAAATAATTCAAAATTAAAATCAAAATACTATATAAGGCCAATCAGATTTTGCCACGTCAACATATTGTGGTGTCTTTTTTGAAGAATGACATTGTAGAATTTTTAGAAAATTAGAGGCCACTAAACTAAGCTTACAAAGAGTGCCCTTCTGAAAAGCAAATAAAAACAGACAACTAAAACAAATTAGTTTGAAACTTAGATAGGCAGAGAGCAGATCATTCTTCAAGCGCAGCAACAAGAGCAGCCAACTCTTCATTATAGATTGGCTTGATGGAGTCAGGGCAAGGTTGAGTTAGACTTTTAAGTCCTAACTCTTGTTTGGAAACGAGTGTTTGAACTCATGATAAAAAATAATTAAGCTAGAATTCTTATTTGTTTAGCAAACTTTTAGTTATACTTTCATATTTAACTCAGATTAAATATATCTAACTTTAATTGGGAGTGTTTATTCTGTATTTTTTTTAAAAAAAATTACTATATTAGTTCCTCTATTGTTTACAAATACTTTATTATGCACTTTATGTATTTAGAAACATTAAGTATTGCAAATTTATTTGTAATAAGATGTTTAAAGTAATAACTCAGGACATCGCTCAAACCACACACTATTTCTCTCTTAAACCAATTCAAAAACATTTTACTCGATTACAATAACATTATCACATAGTTAAAAGAGCGTTAATTGAGTTGTTATAAACTTATCCACCATCTAATTAGTACATTCTAACATACTGTTGTGCGACAGCGGAAGCAAAGGTCGAAAACAAACAAGAAAACAATAAAGAAATTCAATGCAAACAATAAGAACAACACCAAGAATTTACGTGGTTCACTATCGATGTGATAGCTACGTCCACGGGCACCGAGATCGAATGATTTCACTATAAACTGGCAAAGATTACAAAGATTACAATGAAGAACTTAATCACTCAAAGTATTCTCTCTCTTGTGTTTCTCTCTCCGTTACCCTAATAATGATAATAGGAAGTTTATATAGTAGTGATTCCTAATTAAGATATACTTAGGTTACAATATCACAATATGATAAATATTAAATTCGTAATCGCTGAAAAAACCCAGATCGCCCGGTCGGGCGAAGGCCCGCCCGATCGGGCGCGAGAACACGTCTTTTCCAACAACCGAAGTACTCCAAAAAACCCCTTCCGCCCGGCCCGATCGGGCAATGTCCGCCCGATCGGGCGAAGGCTCGCCCGGTCGGGCGAAAGCTCGCCCGGTCGGGCGCGCGAGAGCAGCTTCTTCAACGAATTTGCCAGGCACCTCTTCTTCTTCCGCCCGGTCAGACCGGGTAATGTCCGCCCGATCGGGCGGACAAAGCAACGAAGTACGAGTCACCTAATACTTATCAACAATCTCCACCTTGACGAGAACTCGTAGTCAGCAAACGACCCCATCAAGACATAGTGAAAAACATCTCAAGCCAAACCCGATGCAAGACTCATGCATAAGCCATACATCCCGATAAGTCTTCAACCAAGACCCATCACATACTCGTCTCCAAGTATAACAACTCATAATGCTCCACCTGCATCACAAGCCCCGGGCAAGCTCCACCTTAAGGCCAACACACCTACACCAGGAGCTCCCCAACTTCGCCCCTCAGGGCCTACTACATCACGTAGTAATCAATATTTAACAAGTCTAAGCAATGTTTAAACTTGCTAAACGGAACAGGCTTAGTGAAGAAATCAGCCGGGTTGTCAGCAGTCCCAATCTTCTTCACCTTAATCCTCTTGTCAGTACGTAAGAAATGATACCTGACATCAATGTGCTTCGTCCGATCATGGTGTACTTGATCTTTAGCTAAGCAAATCGCACTTAGACTATCACAATACACTGTAGCAAAATCCTGTGCAATACCCAGTTCACCTACTAGGCCTTTGAGCCAAATAGACTCCTTAGCTGCAGAAGTTAAAGCCATATACTCAGCTTCAGTAGTTGAC